CTGCCTTTTGAGCTGCTGCAATGAGAGCCATACAGGGGATCGTTTCCAACAATTGCCCCCACTGCACCCATCACCCTCCCTATGCACCATACATTTCTCATTGCTGCCCGGGCGCCCCTGTGTGCCACCACCCCCACAGTGCTGCCGGCTTCCCTCCTCTCCTTTCCAACAGCAGCTGCAAGCACACAATAGGATCCTTCAGGATGGAGAGTGGGGGAAGGGTCCGGTAAATATGTCACATTTACCTGCCCCTTCCTTTCCAATGAGTGATCGGTACTGATCATGCACTGTGTTCATTCATAACTAAAGCATAGTAAAAAGTGGCACAGGATATGCTCTCTACAACAAGGATCCAGGAACATCAAATCATATCTGAACCTAAAGACAAAAATTGATAGTCCTTCTGCTTAGTGGTCCTTAGATATACTGTAGTGACTGTTTTATTTTTTTCACACGTATTTCCTTTATTCTAACTTGGTAATCCCACCACTAACTCAATTCCTGCATGACATCTGTACTGAACAGCCCTAGGGCAGGGAGTGGATACTACACAACACCCCCCTCTTCTCTCCAAAACAGGCGGAGGTGTTTTGTAGTCCACTGAGCTAGCAGGGAACAATTCTAACTAATAACAGTCTAGAGGCAGAGAGTATAGGAAGTAATCAGCTCACAGTTTTCATTTGTTGCACTTATTTAACAGATATAAACAGTTTTGGGCCACCCACCCACAATGTACTGCAGACAGGCGGCCCATATGGGCACAGTGATATATCTGTACATTGCTGGCCTTTTCCGGGTACATGACACACGTGCGTGCCCCCACCCTCTGACTCTTGCTGTGACTGTACTCAGCGAGAATTTGTTACCAGTTCCCAGCCAATGATTCATGGTCAGGACCTGCTGATCGGCTGTGTACAACCACAACCCAGAGCCCTGTGTTGACAATCAACACAGAACTCTGTACAGAGGGAACTCTCTCTGTTTCTTCTCCCTGCAATCCTTTCTTCTCTCCTTGCTGTCCTCTTCAGAGATCTGTACATTGGCTAATAAGGCACGCCTTGCAGCTCTGAAAGCCTGAACGGAGCACAGAGTGGCACAGGAGATGCTTTCTACAACAAGGATCCAGGAACATCAAATCATATCTGAACCTAAAGACAAAGGCAAAAGTAAAGCAGGGAGAAGAAACAAAGAGATTTTTAGTAAAAAGCAGCACACATTACACATTGCTAGGCACACATTTAACCCCTTCAATACCTGAAATGTTAACCCCCTCCCAGCCACTGTCATTAGACATTGCATACCTCCCAACTTATTGAGATGGGAACCAGGGAAACCAGCAAATATCTGTAGCATAGGACACACCCCCTGCCACACCCCTTAAAGGACAATTGGATAAAAAAAATATTAGTTAGACCTACAAGTCCTTTTTTTACCGCTACAATTCCTTTATACTGACTTATGAAATTTACAAATGCAACAATTTATTAATTCGATGAAAGGTTTAGCACTGTGAAACACTTTCTGAAAGATAAATAGTGCATTTAGGAGGAAAGAGGGACAGAGGGACTTTGTTCCAAATCAGGAATAGTCCTTCGAAATCAGGGACAGTTGGGAGGTATGATAGTGTATAGTATTATCACTGATCACTGTATTCGTGTCACTGGTGATGTCAATGGCAGTTAGTCAGTTCCCACCCAGTGTCAGTTAGTATCAGATTACCTGTCACACTATCAAAGTCCCACTATAAGTTGTTGATCACCACCATAACAAAAAACACCCCCAAATAAATCAAAATTCCATTATATATATACTACAGTTTATAGACGCCAAAACTTTCACACAAACCAATTAATATACAACTTATTGGGAAATTTTTTAAACCAAAAACGTAGCAGAATACATTTTGGCCTAAATTTATTTTTACATTTTTTATTGGATATGTTTTATAGCAGAAAGTAAAAATTATTGTTTTTTTCTTCATATTTTTCATTCTTTTATCATTTACATAATACAAAATAAAAATCCAGAGGTTATCAAATACCACCAACAGAAAGCTCCATTTGTGTGAAAAAAAAATGATAGAATTTAATTTGGGTACAGTGTTGTAAGACCATGCAATTGCCAGTTAAAGTAGCACAGTGCTGATTTAGCAAAAAAAAATGGCCTGGTCATTGAAAGGGTTAATTGGTAACACGTCCTGCCCTCCTTACCCTGCTTTCTCAGGATCCTGGGAATAATGTAAGTGACACACAGGTACCGTTCAAACAAATATTCAGACTTTTGCTACGGCGGGTTTGTTCTTTAATACAAAAACATAGAAAAAGGGTGGACCATCGAAGTAACCAATCACCAACTAACACAAGACAAAATAAGTAAATGAGGGAATACTACATCAGCAGCTGTACCATACAAAGCATTTCCATTTACACAGAAAAGAGAGGTAATTCCTAAGAAAACAAAACTAGCTGCTACAACTTATGCAGGCCATACATGGTTTGAACTCCAAATGATTTTCATCCGAAAATCTGAAACGTTGTTCGCTCGGTAATCCGATGGTGCTATCAATGATTTTGAAAATCGGCCGACCAAATCATAAAGTTCACCCCATATAACAGGTGAAACTTCTGTTAATTCCAGGTCATGGCTCATGTGCAAATTCTTTTCGGAAAAACGATCGTACGATTTGACCATCATTGAGTTGAAAATCGGTAGTTTTTCACGAATTTTCTAACATGCCCAATCACCGAAAAGGGGAGGAACCATGAAAATTGGGTGGTGCCATTGACCCATTAACAGAGTGGAAATAAACGATTATTCTTAGGTCAGATTTTCGGATGAAAAATCGGTCAAATTTCGACCCATGTATGGCCAGCCTTACGCAGGGAATGAGAAATGCGAAACTGAATTGTTACATTTACACATTAACTGGAGACAGCAGAACAAAATGAATACAATATATGTACATATTTCTCCTTCAACCCGGGTTCACATATATGTGGTGTGGTATATCACGTGATTCGCATAGGAACCACAGCGCATTCCTGTGCAAATCACATGCGATTTGTATGCGGTGCAATTGGAGCCATACATTTTGTATGGCTCTAATTGCACTGCGTCGGCAACAAAAAGGTGCAGGACCCTTTTTTGGGTCCACACTAGGATCAGATCGCATGAAAATTCACACCTATGTGTTCCGATTTTGCACTTCACACTGTGTTTTGCGGACCACTTTCGGGGTGTTGATAATTTAACATACACACCCGCATCGGTTCACATGAATGAGGTGCGATTTGATACGGTGCAGAATTCGCACAAAAAATGCTGCGAATTCCGCACAGCATCAGTGTGAACCAGGGCTCAGTCATGAAGGTGGTAACTACTAATTGGCGAGGGGGGGGGCGGGGAGTTGAGTGTCCTCCTCCATGGGGCGGGTCATTCCTGTCCTGTTTGTTCATATGGGGTGGGAATGACCCGGCGCACAGCTCATTGGAGTACATAAAGAGGGCGCATTTTGTAGTCCTGGTAGAGATGATTCCGAGGGACTCCTGGGCTCGTCTCTAATTTGGAACAATACAAAGGAAGAGGAGCTCATAGCCTATGGAGGACGGCCATCATTTCCCAGGAACTGTGACCACATTGAACCAGATTTCTACAAGAAGCAGAGAAATGAACCAAGACAACCTTGATCCTCATTTATTATATTTGTAGGGTAGCACAGTGGCTAAATGGTTATCACTTCCGCCTGGCAGTACTCGGGTCATTGGTTCAAATCCCAGCCATGGCACCACCTGCCTGGAGTTTGCATGTTCTCCCTGTGCCTGTGTGGGTTTCCTACCACACTCCAAAGACATGCTGGTAGGTTAATTGGCTCCTGTCTAAATTGGCCCTAGTATGTGTATGTATGAATGTGAGTTAGGGACCTTAGATTGTACACCCCTTGAGGGTTAGGGACTGATGTGACTGTAATATATATATGCAAATTATGGCACTATATAAGTACCTATAATGAATATATTGTATTTATCTATGATGTGAATGCACTGTATGTGTAAAGCACAACATCTATATAAGTACCTGAAATATAGAAATCTTTTTTTTACTCTAAAGTTTGATTGATTTTAAATCATTGAACTATCACCCTCCCAGATCTATCCTCAGATTCTGTGGCCCCTCTGAGCTCCATAACTGTTGCATGATCAACTGTGGCTATAGATCAGCCCTTGTGCCTCTGGATTTGTGGACAGGTGCTCTTATCTGACATGGAGCACATTCAGGATTATTGGATGTTGGAATCCTGCTGGATATTGGCCCAGTCCCTGTACTTGGCTGTGTGCAGAACATTCCTAGCACAGAGCAGACACTATTCCCGGTTGTCTGTCTGTGCAGTGACTCTCCCGGCCTGTAGGTGGCGCCGGTCCCGGACCATTCCCAGCACTGAGCGGACACTATTCCCTCCTGTGTCTCTCCGTACAGTGATTCTCCCGGCCTGTAGGTGGCGCCGGTCCCTGAACATTCCCAGCACAGAGCAGACACTATTCCTGGTCGTCTGTCCGTGCAGTGACTCTTCCGGCCTACAGGTGGTGCCAGTCCCTGAACATTCCCAGCACTGAGCAGACACTATTCCCGGGTCCCTGAACATTCCCAGCACCGAGCGGACACTATTCCCCGTGTCACTCCGTGCAGTTACTCTCCCGGCCTGTAGGTGGCGCCGGTCCCTGAACATTCCCAGCACCGAGCAGACACTATTCCCTGTGTCTCTCCGTGCAGTGACTCTTCCGGCCTGTAGGTGGCGCCAGTCGACGCACACACACCGGAAGCAGGGCCGGCCTATCTCTGCTATTCCCGGGAAAAGCTGCGACATCTGGTTGGTCTCGAGGAGGGATTGCTGAGCCGGTGAGCGGCGTTCGCCCGGGCCGATCCATCGCTGAGCGAAGGGAAGGCTTCCGGGGATGGATGAGCGGCCGCTGTGAGCCGTAGTGAGGATCCCGGAGCCGTACACCATGTCTGAGGGCCTCTATGAGAAGTTCTTGGCCCCCGACGAGCCCTTCCCCCTCCTCTCCCAGAGAGGCAGCATCAGTGAGGAGGGATGTCTGGATGTCAGTGACTTCGGCTGTCAGCTGTCCTCCTGTCACCGCACCGACCCCCTCCACCGATTCCACTCCAACAGGTGGGTGTACAGCAGGCCAGACACTCAGGATTACCCCTTTCAGCACCAGGGCTTTCCTGATGTACATGGCAGTCATCACACAGGGCTATCCTGATGTACATGGCAGTCATCACACAGGGCTATCCTGATATACGTGGCAGTCAGCAGACGCGGGGCTATCCAGTCAGCAGAGGGCTTCCTGATGTACATGGCAGTCAGCAGACGCGGGGCTATCCTGATGTACATGGCAGTCAGCAGACGCGGGGCTATCCTGATATGCGTGGCAGTCAGCAGACGCAGGGCTATCCTGATATACGTGGCAGTCAGCAGACGCAGGGCTATCCTGATATACGTGGCAGTCAGCAGACGCAGGGCTATCCTGATATACGTGGCAGTCAGCAGACGCAGGGCTATCCTGATATACGTGGCAGTCAGCAGACGCAGGGCTATCCTGATATACGTGGCAGTCAGCAGACGCAGGGTGGCAGTATCCTGATATACGTGGCAGTCATCACACAGGGCTATCCTGATATACGTGGCAGTCATCACACAGGGCTATCCTGATATACGTGGCAGTCATGTATCACACAGGGCTATCCTGATATACGTGGCAGTCAGCAGACGCAAGGCTATCCTGATATACGTGGCAGTCATCACACAGGGCTATCCTGATATACGTGGCAGTCATCACACAGGGCTATCCTGATATACGTGGCAGTCATCACACAGGGCTATCCTGATATACGTGGCAGTCATCACACAGGGCTATCCTGGCATACATGGCAGACCTCACACAGGGCTATCCTGATATACATGATAGACCTCGGAAAAGGGCTACACGTGGTCCCCCTTCCCATACACAGCACATGGTGTCTCAGCACTGTGTAAGAGGAAGGAGCGGTGAGGGAGCACTGACTGGCAAGGTTAGTATAGCTGGGTCGGGGGGCTCTTTTTCAGAGACAATGTCCATTTGCCACTTGTCAGGATGGTAGTTGCACTGTAATGGATTTTTTTCCTTCTGGGGGGGGGATACGCATGCATTTCAAGACTTATCCGTCTTCAGTAATCAATTCTTGTCATGTTTAGAATACATTCTGAAGAAACCTTTTCTCTTTTACAAGCAGACCTTGGGCTGAAGGCAAGCTGCTTTACTTAGTGTGAAGTGATGTCATGAGTCTGCTGCAGGCAGATGGAAGCATTTCTTCAGTCTCTTCTCTCAATGATCAGACTGCAGATTTGTAGGACGTTAAAAACGGAGGCTGTAGCCCAGAGGACAGATCTGTTAGACATTTGTGAACACAGCTGACAACTGCACAGGCACCAGGACCATATGATTGTGTCATCTCTGAGCCAGCATGTCTGTCAGTAAGTAGATGTTAACCCCCCCCCCCCCCTCCCAGATAGTGCCTCAACAAAGATAGCCCCATCCTCCTGGAGAGAAGCACAGATGCCGGCATTGTCAGTGGAAGGAGTGTGTTCTCTTGGTGATAGAAATATATCCCTGTTGCATGTTACTTACCATCCATGACAAATCTAGATGTGATGCTAGGTGTTCTGTAAAGGGATTATGTCTTGATACCCGTGGGCCTGTCATTGCTGACCTTCTTCTGAAAATGCTGGTTGCCAGGCTATTATGCTGACCCTCTGGCTTTCCTTTCTGAGCCCTGACCTGGGATACGTTTTCAGATCGGTAAATGACAGGCATGATACTGGCCAACTAGTATTTGTAGAATGAAAATCGGTCAATGAAGATGGATCCCAGGTGGATGGTAAGATACTGGGATATGTGAGTCAATATTTCTGTTATCCTGTGAAGGCATTTCGAAGAATTCATTACTTTCCTATTGTAATTTGCAGGTGGAATCTGACGTCTTGTGGAACTAGTGTGGCAAGTTCTGAATGTAGCGAGGAATTATTTTCCTCGGTCTCAGTTGGGGATCAGGATGATTGCTATTCCCTTCTGGATGACCAAGACTTCACCTCCTTTGATCTTTTTCCGGAGGGCAGTGTGTGCAGTGATGTCTCATCCTCCATCAGTACTTATTGGGACTGGTCTGACAGCGAGTTTGAATGGCAGGTAATTTGCAGACCGAAATTTTACAAGTCAAACCCGCCTCGATCTCCTGCTCATTTTCACAAGTTTCAGAGAGAATTGATCTTCTGCACAAAAAGCTGAGATTCATTCTGGAAGTCACCAGGAATGGCTATCATTGTGTGTGCCATGCTGCAAACGTGCACAGCAGGAATTGGGATTAAAAGCAGTGATTTGGAAAAGAAAGCACCTCTGTACTCTTAAAATCCATGGTGATCTATAATGCATACATTGACCAGATATATCATTGTTGCTGTGAGACACGTCTCTTCCCATACACTTCATCTTCCTCTTTACTACAAAGTGTGATGTCCTCACCGACTAATGTGTTGGGAAAGGGGAGAAGAAGAGGTGGATCACTGTGTATGATTTATTGGTGGCTCTGGACCTTGGAAATGCACTGCATATATCTTCTTTGCTTGCACTGTGATTGAAAGTGGAAATTCAGTCAAAGGCTAAGTCAAAACCTACTCCCACCCTCATTCTAAGCCTAGTCTATCTAACCCTGTGAAGAGGGGATATGTGAACTTACCTATTCTAATGCCTCTCCAGTCCCATGATCAGCTGTCAGTGGCAGCTTCATTGTAGAGGAGGGACAGCCGACAACGGATGCTCCATAGTACCTATGGGTGACGTCATCTCCCAGGCATTTGTAGCTGTTGTCAGCAATCTCTCCTCTACACAGAAGCCACCATGTGACCAGAGCGGCTTCAGAATAGGTAAGTATACAGATCTTTCTGTTCAGGATTAGATAGAACAAGCTTAGAGTGGGGGTGGGAGTAGGTGTAACCTTAGATTTTAATTGAACTTCCACTTTAATAGCCTTATTGAACCCTCAAAACGTTTTAAAACCTTTTTAAGGATAAGTTTCATCTTTAGTAACATGTTATATCCGTGTTCAGGGTGTAAAATGTAACTAATGCAGCAACCCACCACCCCCCTCGATTCCCCCCACTGTGACAGTAGGCCCGGGGCACCGTCAACCTGAGCACAGTCACGTTTTAAAGACTGCATGTCTGCGAGGCTCCACCCACACAGTCGTGTCATTCATTTGCACAGATCTGTGAATGAATGAACTACAAGTTTTGTCTGCTACTGCAGTAAATGGCTTGTAGTTCTCAATGTACTACCAGGGTGCTCATCAGTGCAGTCATAGTTCACTGACCCTTCCTGTGGCTGATTAACTGTCTGCCCATATGGTGGAATGGGCAGACAGCTGTTAGGAGTGTCTTCAGGAGCCTGACATTGCACCCACAATTCACTAATCGAGGCTGCAATGCTTTGCAGGCTCCACAGTAGAAAAATAATAAATAGAACTGAAAAGAATAGGCGCTGTGGAAAAGGCTCTCAGTCAAGCACCTTAATGAAGGTGCATCTTTATTGGGTGAGACAAAGTAGCAAATATAATAAAATTTGACCAGCCTGAAGTGAACAGTGTGACTCCAACGGATGGCCCATCCGCTCTGGAGGGAGCTGAGATCGGAGAATGCTCCTGTCGACTTCAAATTACGTGTCAGCGTCCCGGCATCCCGGGTCGGCTTCAGCTGGGAGCGTATGTAGGGTTACCAAGACTTGGTAACCCTACATACACTCCCAGCTGAAGCCGACCATGTAGGGTTACCAAGTCTTGGTAACCCTACATACGCTCCCAGCTGAAGCCGACGCCAGACACTGCCTTTGCTTGCCGTGATGACACCACCTTGGACGCCGGTACGCTGACATCACGTGATTTGAAGCCAACAGGAGTGTTCTCCGATCTCAGCTCCCTCCACAGTGGACGTGCCGTCCATTGGAGTCACAATGTTCACTTCAGGCTGGTCAAATTTTATCATATTTGCTACTTTGTCTCACCCAGTAAAAGGTGCTTGACTGAGAGCATTTTCCACAGCGCTTATGCTTTTCAGTTCTCTTCATCATACAAATGATTAACAAGGCAGCAGTGGTGAGCTCATGATTAACTGTTCACATGTTTCCACCTGGAGTGGCCTCTCTGCGCTCATTTGTATGAGTTTCCCGAAAAAATAATAAATGTAGCTTTTTTTTATGCATTCAAAATCATGTGTTTTTATTATGGTGAACATAGCCTTTAAACTAAACAATTAGTAAGACATCCCCTCACTCTGAGGATAATAAACACCATAAAGTGCCACCAGGACCTTTTTGTTTAGTGTCCCTTTCCTTCCTTTCTTGCCCTTTGGGGTATAGAGAAATACACTGACTTGAGTATCTTTAGACTACAGAGAGTAAAGCTTACCATCTTCTTTCTCTTTAGTTACCTGGAAGTGACATAGCAAGTGGCAGTGATGTGCTATCAGATGTGATACCCAGCATTCCCAGCTCTCCCTGCCTCCCCTCCAAGAAAAAGAACAAACACAGAAATCTGGACGAGCTACCTTGGAGTGCTATGACAAATGATGAACAGGTAATGCCAAGAACATACTGCATGTATTTTGTTTTCATCTATGGTTTAGAAACTTGTTTAGTGCTCTCAAGATTGGAGTATTAACTGAGAAAACTGTTTCTCTAGACCAGGGCTCGACAAATTCCAGGTACTGTTTCGTCATGAAACTGCATCCCAGCACCTGGGCCCCCCCGCCAGCCTACAATACTACGCTCCCCCACTCTGTGTCTTCTGTCAGCCTCTCTTCCCTGCCCCACAAAGTGGAGCCCAGCACAGTCTCCCGGGACCCCCAGAGCCCCCCCCCACCCCCATATCCCTCCTCTTTTATAGCGTCCAGGCTGAGCCCCCTGATGCACTCCTATCCGTGCAAAGAACCCCTCCAAACTCCCTACACAGCCCAAGAGCCACGACCCCCCCGGAAAACATTTCAAGCCCGCCTCCCACCAGTACTCAGAGGGCAGCAGGACGCAGCACTACATATGGTGTAATTGTTGCCTGTGATCCCATTGGAAGGAGTCCCTCTCACTTCTGTTTTGATACCTGTCAGGAAATGGGGAGATTTCCCTTCACTTTCTGGTCACCTATGTCTGACACCCAACAAATAAGGAATGAGGAGAAAGCCCCCAAATGGAGATGGCAATAAAAGAATTGACAAAGGCCAGAAAAAGAAAAAAATAGTTTTGTAGGAGTCAGGCTTTGAGTAACCCTGAGCTATTATTTAAGGCAGAATTTCGAGATTCTTGCATAAGCCCAGTAAGTTTTGTGAGTACTAATTAATTGAAACGTGTCAATATTGTGTTTTTTTTTTTTTTTTTCTAATTTTTGATACTTGATTTTCCTAGGTTGAATACATTGAATATCTCAGTCGAAAGGTCAGCACGGAGATGGGTCTACGAGAACAGCTTGACATTATAAAGATAATTGATCCTACAGCGCAGATCTCCCCTACAGACAGCGAGTTTATCATCGAACTGAACTGCCTGACTGACGAAAAACTGAAACAGGTTTGTTTGTCATCTCCTTATATAGAGAAACAAAAAACTATGAAATGAAGATTACACCAAAAACTTGTGCTGGGCCTGCCTGTAATGTTTGCTTTGGGCACTGGATCCTGTGTTAGGCATTCACCTTGGCATGTTGTTGCAACAAGTGTGTTACTCTCTGTTATACAAATCTGTAATGCCTTCAGTGCTGAAAGTATTTACATTTAAATTTAGATTTGGCTGTCCGAGCTTTGTCTCGAGATGGTGACGTAGTTGCCACAAGCCTGCTGGCTGATGTACTTTTGCCCACCATATCAACTGAAAATGTACACACCATGTTTGCTGCACTTCTTGCCACCTGCTGCTGCAGAGACACAGCCAAGGAACATGGTCAGCGCCTGTGCTATACCAGCTCCTGCATTCCTGAAATGCGAAACCCCATTTCCTCCGCATTCATTCAATGAGTACAGAGGACAGTTAACATGCATTGTGCGAATGACCTACAGATATCTTGTAACACTGTTCAGGGTGATCGCTATTCTCTTGTCCTGCTATGACAGCACTCCCCTTCTTTGACTCTAGCTTCCTCCTAAACTCGCATGTTAGGCCTATCTGACAAAAGCAGAATTTTCTGCCACAATATGAGTTCTTTCCACATTCTTGGCACCTTGCCAACCGTTCAGAGTGTGAAATGGAAGAGAGTGAAGGGGACTCAAAGATTGTACTGGAAGCTGCAGAGGATTTTTCAACCATTAAGAGATGCAAGCTATGGCTGCTCAGCAGTTGCTGTCCACTGTAGAACACCCCCACTGACAGTATGAACTAGATTTTACCGAGCATCACTCGACTTTCAACATCTCAAACAAGTCCCTATGAGCACTAAGAAGTTGGAAAATCCTATTCGGTTTTCTATGCATGCACAAATTGAATGTACGTTTTATGAGAATTGGCATATGCCTGAAAGGATATTCACGTCTTTTTAGCTTTTTTGTTAAAATTTGTAACATGGAAAAGGAATTTTAAAAGAAATGTGCTGTCTCCCCCCCCCCCCCCCCCCCCCCCCCCAAAAAAAAAAAATCCCAATCATACATTACAGTGCACATGCTTATTTACCACTTCCTGTCCGGCCCATGTGCATAAAGCGGCTAGATGGGAGCACTTTAGACATTTAATGTCTGTGTGTGCTCCCTGGGATCGCACGTCACCGCGATCCGGTGCCTGCTGTGTCAGGAGGTCCCGATTCATGTGATCCCAGATTGGCCAGTCAGTGATCATATGAATAGTAGTAAACAAGATGTCACTTCCTGACATCATTGCTTACTACTTGTGAAATCTATGAATGATCACAGAGGTCACATGGTACAAGGCTATTCACAACAGCCTTGTACCATGTGACAAGCTGTGACCAATCACAGCTCTCACAGTATTTCTCAATGGCTGCAAAAATGCAGCCAGAGAGGAGAAATTATTGCTTTTACAGCCTTTATGGGTATAAAGGCAATCGGTGTAAAAAAAAATAAAAAAAATCTTGATGTTAAAAAAAAAAAAAAACATAAAATAACAATATAAAAATCAAAAATTATCATTTCTAAAAAAAAAAATTTTGTTATAAAAATTTGGGAAATTAAGTTTTTTTTACTAAAAAGATAGCTGAATACATTTTGGCCAAGATTTATGAATAAAGAATTTTTATTTGCAACATTTTATAAGAAAAACACTTTTTTTTTTTTTTTTTTCAAAATGTTTGGACTTTTTCATTTATATAGCAAAAAAATAAAAACCCCAGTGGTGAATAAATGCCACCAAAATAAAGTTTTATCTGTATCAAAAAAATGCCAAAAGATTCATACGGGTACAGTGTTGCATGACCGCGCAATTGTCATTCAAAGTGTGATAGCACTGAAAGCTGACAATTGGCCTGGACAGGAAGGGGGTGAAAGTGTCCGGACTTGAAGTGGTTAAGTAATTTACAGCTGGATTATATGCAACTGCCTTCGGGTGACTGGACACTGTCAAAAAACAGAGGATGCAGGGACCTCCCCTCTGTATAACCCCTCCCACTCCCAGTTAGCTATAGGTTTGCTAATGTTACTAGGTGATGGAAGTTTTTTCTCTAGTGTGAGAAGCTTACCTTAGAGTTTTTTTTGTTTGGTTTTCCCACTCTGATTTTTTCTGAAATATTTTTTTTCAAGGTACTTCTTTCATCACATAGCTACATCCCCTTGGCACATAGTATAGTATATAAAGTTGGTACGTTTTCTTCAGTTGCAGAAAATGGAAAGTAGATTACAAGTGTGGAGTCTATTTTATCTCGTTTGTCTGCCGTTTCTAGTTTTGTGCAATGGCTAGAGTTAATGGAACAGGAAAGATAGCTGAAAAAGAATGAAGACTTGGTGAAATTGCAATAATGTTTTAAAAGACTGATTAAATATTGACTGGTGCCCTTATTCTGTTTTCTTTTATTATGCTGTAACTACATTTTTATGTAAAACCTTATTTTCAAGAAATTTTAAATTGTATTCTGTCCAGGGCGGTGCATGTGTTCCTCTAAGGATGTGTATACATCAGCGTAAATTTGCTGAGTATTTCATGCTGTCCCTGATTTTTACAGGCTGCTGGTAGTGGGCTCTAAGCTGCACCTTTTGACCCTGACAGAGAATTATGCCTTAATATTTGCTGCATAGACCTTATCAGGGGCGGACTGACAACTCATGGGGCCCCCAGGCAATAGGGGATCATGGGGCCCCTGTGTCCTTGCCCAAACTCAAAAAAGCCTATGAAAAAGGTACCAGGGGCATCTCATGGAGCCCCCTACTGACCCCGGGCCCTCGTGAAGTGCCCGAATTTCCAATTGGTCAGTCCGCCCCTGGACCGTATGTGCTCATGTGCATGTACCGTAAATGTTTGTGGAATGGCTGCAAGCAACTGTACTTAATGTTCGCCAAATCAATCCTGTACATCTTCATATACACTCACCGGCCATTTTATTTGGTACACCTGTTCAATTGCTTGGTAACAAATTGCTAATCAGCCAATTACATAGGAGCAATTTAGTGCATTTAGGCATCTAGATGTGATGCAGACAATTTGCTGGAGTACAAACCGGGCATCAGAATGGGGAAGAAAGGGGATTTAAGTGACTTTGAAGGTAGCATGGTTGTTGGTGCCAGACGGGCTATCTGGGATTTTCTTGCACAACCATTTCTAGGTTTTACAGAGATTGGTCTAAAAAAGAGAAAATATCCAGTGAGTGGGAGTTGTGTGGAGAAAAAAAATGCCTTGTTGATGTCAGAGGAGAATGGGCAAGATGGTTGCTGCAACATTCAGTTGGTAGGGTCAGAATTTGGCATAAACAACATGAAAGCATGGATCCGTCCTGCGTTATATAAACGGTTCAGGCTGGTGGTGGTGTAATAGTGTGGGGGAGATTTTCTTGGCACTAGCAAAGTGTACCTAATAAGGTGGCCAGTGAGTGTTAAGGCAGAAATGCAAGATATGCTGTGAATCATTAGATCTGTTTTAAATTGATAGGTCTGCCCTTGTAGTAGATCAGATTTAAGCCTGTATGCTTCCCTCTCCCATTTGCATGACAAGTGTGGTTTTTATTCATGTTCTCAGGTCAGGAGCTATATCAAGGAGCATAGTCCTCGACAGCGATCCGCACGAGAGAACTGGAAAAGAACAAGTTACAGTACAGCCAGCACAAGTGGTGTGAGTGGAGCCAGCGTGAGTAGCAGTAGTGCCAGTATGGTCAGCACAGCCAGCAGCACTGGTTCTAGTGGGGGTCACTCAGCTTCTAACTCAAGTGCCAACATGAGTCGAACGCACAGTGACAGCAATTTATCTGCCAGCGCAGCAGAAAGAATAAGAGATTCAAAGGTAAGAATCCATCTCTAAATTCCAATATTTCCTGTAAATTATTGATGTGTATATATAAATGAGACCAACTTTAGATTTTTTTTTTTTTTTTACCTAGAATGGTAATAATACCATAGAATGCATGAAGGTAAAAAGCGTTGTGTGTGTAGCGGCTCCTCCAATAATTACCTGATCCAGCGATGTGCACAAGAGCTGCACCTCTCCAGGGACTCTTCCTCCTCATTGGCTGAGACAGCAGTCAGTCACAGTCAATGAGCCAATGAGGTGAGAGAGGGGTAGGGCCAAGCCAGCTTGGGTGCCCCCATAGCAAGCTGTTTGCTGTGGGGGCAATTGGCATGAGTGAGGGGCCAGGTGTGCTGGCGGGGACCTGAGAAGAGGAGGAGATAAGTGTGACATGTTTGTTATTTAAAAAGAAAATTGACTTTAATATCACTTTAACCTCTTCTAAGGGAGTAATGTGCAAACTTTGTACAATATAAGGAAATTCATGGTCATGTGTTGACCTGTTTCCATTTCTATTTGCCAGTATTTATTGCGGTCCAGTAATCCAGTACCTTTTATTAAGTAGCATTGCTTGATGGCTGGGCTGTCAGTGGAATACCACAGCTATATATGTAAATGATGTGACCAAACCGCAGCGCAAAAAATAAATACATTGATTAAATAAACGTACAAAAAAAATAAATAAATTATATTAATAAACCAAATGAGTAGCATTTTTGTGCTCCAATCAGAAAATAGTTCTCAAAAAACTCTCCAACGTGCCCAAACCATGCGTGACTTCCAATCCTGCCTGCACTCACCAGATGCAATGGACTCTTAGCTGGTATGGCTTAAGAGTCAAACAGGCTTAAAGGTGGGGTACAACCTCCACAAATATCTCCCACTCAGGAAATCCTTGCTTGACAGTCTCCAAATGATCACTCATAGATGGATAGCAATGCAAAAGAGATAACAGAAACACCAATAGTGTAATACTGTATAAACTTTTTGATGTTTAAAATTTAATGCCCGTATTGCAGTCACATTTTTAAAATATTTTTGAAGCCTTTTTTTAACATATAGACTCCTCAAGCAGATAACCGATCCAATCACATTAATCCATGGAAGCAAAAGTAGCAGATCACATCAGCATTAGAAGGTGAACTGGCAGCAGTCTATGGCAATGTGCTCTATTCTCCAAACAAATGGCTCTTGGAATGCCGTAACCAGCGTGCGTTCCACTCACCGGGTGTGACATCATGAAGCCTCCGTCATAGACAGAAATTGCGTCAATGTGTTTTGCCCCTCCAGGGCGTTATCACTGACCTGGCGGAGGGGCGAAACTCGTTGACGCAATTTTTCTAGAGCCACCCAAATCACTTTTACCTGAAAGCCAATTACTGGCTGTAAATTAATGCCAAGTTTATGGCTTCAGGAGCAGTTGTCAGCTTTTTTTTAACCTCTTGAGTACTAGGACATTTATAAACGTAGCTTGGTAGACAAGGGTTTGAACAACCCCTTCAGTTCTCGCATATCCCCAACATGTCGTGTTGCCACGGTAGGAAAGACTCTTGGTGATTTCCGACCCAGTGACATTGACTACTTTCCCTGGGTAAGATTAAGATACCCTTTAAAACATGGTTTGCTCATAGTAATGATAGACTGACAATGAGAAACAATGGTTTAAAAAGAGTTTCCCAAATGTTTTAGTACATTTTCTATTTCCAAGTTGGCTCTCGGCTTGCAGTTATATGACCATTGTTGTGTCTTCCTCCCAAAGTAGTATTCTATGTTCTGGTTTTTCGAAACAAGCTGTCAGGCTCACTTACAAAGCTTCCAAGCTGCTTTATGGGAAGCCAGGCTCTAATCTGTACATTGTCCTCCAAATGATCACAGGAGTCTGAAGAAGTGGATGTTTTAGGTATTACAAAAAAATACATACGTGGTATCGCTGCGATCATCAGGAGCTGGAGACTTTATTTTAAGTTTTTGTTTGGTGGTAGGTGGTAGTAACAAGAAACGCACAGCTAAAGTTAAAAAGGTGTGTTTTTGTTTTTGTTTTTTTTTTACTATTATGGGCCAGTTTTCCTTTGATGATAATAAAGAAAAAAATCAGTCGATATCCACTACCATTTTACCACTAAAAGAGAGCCAGTTTGTCCTGAAAAAATCAAGGTATAATCCACCTGGATACACAAAGTAGCTGCGATATATGTACGGTTTTACTAACATGTCAAAGTTGCAAAATTTTACTTGGGCATTAAGATTTGTTTTACACTTAGGCCTGAAGGGGTTATTACAAGGAGGTCTGTGTTTTTGCTTCTGTGTATGACAGCAGGTCATCATTCTTAGCTTAGTGAAAATTAATGGTAGAAAATGTTGTTTTTATATAGTGTGTTGCTATATGCTTTTCTGTATCTTAATTTACTTTGCATGTTATGTGTTTAATTTAGAAACGATCTAAGCAGAGAAAACTGCAACAGAAAGCACTGCGGAAGAGACAGCTAAAGGAGCAAAGGCAGGCTCGGAAGGAGAGACTCAGCGGCTTGTTCCTAAATGAAGAAGTGTTGTCACTTAAAGTTAATGAGGAAGATCACGAAGGAGATGTAGATGTACTCATGTGACGAGGGTGAAAATAGCAGTGTTCTTCATAAGTCTATATAAGGCCAGGGTAGTTAAATAAATAAAATATGCAAAAACAGGGTCTCCTATCACATGCTGTAGGATCTAATTTTTAGGTCTCTCAATGCGTGCTGTTGCCCGTGTTTCCTACTTGCCACCAAAGGAGATTATAGAAACTAGTTTTGATTTTGTATGAAATCTTATAGTCTAATCTGTAATCATAGATCCTCTCTCTCCTAAATGTATTAGGCCAGTCATCCGTGCCAGTGCAAGATACTCTAGGCCTCATCGTAGCGATGCTTATTAAGTATGGTAAAAAAAGATGCCCAAAAACATTAAAAAAAAAAATACACATGATTTGGTGTGTGAACCATTAATTTCAATGATCTACTTAATTGGTGTAAAACCCGAAAGATTCAGTCTGCAGAATATTTTTAAAGATTAGCACATTAATGTGAAAAGAATCCTTTAAAATGAATAGCTTTTACTTGCTGTTTGTACTTGACTGTTGCAAAACACACAGGTGTGACTGGACCATTATACAAGTTACTAATTTGTAAAGCCATGTTCACACAGGCTTCAGCTTGCTCAAACAAGTTTGAAAACCAGCATACACAGAAACCACATCAAAAATTGGGGAGAGAGCACATTGAAAGACCTAAATATCTTTGAATAATTGCTAGATATTGGCTGTGTTCAGCATTGTACTAGTTATTTCTAGCAGTGCTGGTTATCACCATACCAACTAAGTCTTTGAAGTCTCTTTCTTTAACCTTTTGTAAGCATCTTTCACCACCTTGTTGAAGGTACACACACTAAACTGAGAAATATAATGAATGAACTACTGATCATTCGCTAAATGGGTCTAATGCTAAAAAGATGTCCTCTAAAAGGTGAACTTGGAAAGGTAAGTAGAAAAGGAGTGCCCAGTGTCCAATAATATGCAAGTTTGAAGGTTTATTAGAAGATGTTTATTGAGAATTGCAAAAATCACATCAAGCCAACACGTGTCAGGGGAGCAGGGACTCCCCCTTCAGAGCTGTTGCTCTATCCTAATAGATGGGAAGGATTTCCGAACAGGTATGTCAATGGCAAGCAATCAGAGGGATGACTGTCAATATGTTGGCTGTGTTTACAGAGGCAGACTACATTTTGTCAGCCACCCCTCTGCTTGCCATTGACATACCTGTTTGGGAATCCTTCCCATTTATTAGCATGCAGCAACAGCTCTGAAGAAGGGGGAGTCACTGTTCCCCCAAAATGCGCTGGCTTGAATTGCTTATTGCTTTTCTCAATAAACATTTTCTAACACACCTTCAAACTTACATCTTATTGGACACTGGGTGCTCCTTTTCTACTTACCTTTCCAAGTCTACATACAGAAGCGGCCCTAAGATCGCACCCCAAGGAAGCAGCCCCAGCCCATAGAGGGCTCAGCACCACCACCCTCCAACTGGGCATAAACCACTGGAAGGGATTTCTTCCTACTTGCCCAAGTTATCACCCACCAACTACCAGTGACCAATCGAGTCTTTCCAGCGTGGTCTCCAGCCGTAACACGTTACCTCTAAATGTGGAGGTTTACCAATCTGGCACAGACTTAGGAAGAACACTACTTTCTTTGGGGTTTGCTAAATTCAGACAGTTTTAAGATGGAACTTTCAAACTACTTTGTAACTGTATATCTGTATATACTAAAGTCGCTGCGCTCCAGATATATTAATTAACTGTTGCTGATGGTGGGGGAGGTCTGTAGCCCTGTTACAGTATCGCTACTGATTATTTATATTTTGTTCTGTGGGAAATGTTTGGACTTTATTCATATTTGGTATTCAGAATTGTGTTTTTTTTTTTTTTTGTTTTTTTTTTTCTGCCATATTTATGTTTGTTGATGGCTTTGTCAACAATCTTTCAAAAGAAACAGATTGTTAACTGAAGCGTCAGAACTTAATTCAAAGAAAGGTTGTGCTAGTTATAAAATACTTATTGAACCTGTTTCAGTGAAAAAGTTTAAAGCTGAACACTAGGTAATTTATTATTATTTTTTTTTTTGTAAACTGCACAATTGAAATAAGGTACCTCTGATTAAGAGTATGTGAAGTCTGCGGCTCTGCTGTTTTCTGTAGAAATTACAGTTAATTCATTCTAGATATTACACAGTACTTTTCTGGCACTGCGACTGAAAGTTCAATATCTAATACAGTGCGTAGAAAGTGTTGTGTACGCTCCCATTCCTTTCCCTTCTTCCGTTTACAAAAACGCCTTGTATTATCTTCAGACTAAAAGGCATTCTTTGAATGGACAAGGGCAGAGGAGGAGCAAGTAAATCACATGATCTCCATTCACTCAGTCACAGAACACCTTGCATTTTGTGAACTGTATTCAAGGTGTTTTGTGAATGGACAAAGGGAGAGTTGCTGACCAGTGTTGGTTAGCTGGCTGGCAAGTTGAACAGGGTAGCCCTATTTATATTTAGTATGCGATGCCCGTCCGTGTTCACTGCTGAAAAAGCCAGTTATAGACCTGGGATGGTGACCAGTATTTTGAATGTACTTTTTGAGGTTTGTGGGTGCATTGGACACCCTGGCTGCCGTTGTGCTATATGCTGGGTGTCGGTGCGCTTCTGTACCTTTTAACGAGGGGTGTGCTCCCTCAGGTCCACCTGCCCTTGGTCTATCCAATAAATGCATGTGCCTTTACTATGAGGACTCTCAAGATTTATAGAGTTATGACCACAGAATATCAGGGTGCTGTGATGTGGCTCTGTGGCTTACGTATGTATTTGCAAATGTGTGCTAACTAAACCCCTGTTTTTATACGCATGTTGTTAGACAGGTTCATTTGGTTTTTTGATAGTTGGCTAACTGGCTGGCAGATTGAACTGGCTTTCTTATCCCCCTTTTTGATAAGTGATACCTATCCATGTTCCTTGCTGACCAATGTTGTTGGTTAGCTGTCTAGCAAGTTGAACAGGGTAGCCCTATTTATATTTCAAAGGGGGAGTTAGCAGAGGATGGATAGCACAATCCCCATACTATACAAAAGCCAATGCTATTGGCTGCAGCGCCACAATAATCACAATGTGAGTATATAAAGCAGCAGCATTGCAGACTTGGCATAATCTTCATTAGAAGAACCTTTTATTTTTAATTGTGCTGTTTCCAAAAAAAAATTCTGCTTTAAAGCAAGCCTGATGCTTTCACTGGTCCTGCCTTTTCTGTGCTTCCTAGCCTATGTAAATATGGATTTTCTGAAAGTCAGTGTTTGCATAGGACTAGGCACCCTCTCCTTGTGACAGTGCTGAGCCCCCAATTACTGTATTGTGGGGGTACAGGGGGAGTGAACACACACCCTCTAGCTGGAAGTACTGGGTATGCTGAGCTTCAATGCCAGATCAGTAAAGGTGAAATGGACACCTTGTGGTACCAATGACACCGTGTCAGGCTTACTTCTTATTGATATGCATTTACTTAATAGTTGAAAAACTAGACAAACACTTTTTTTTAATTAATAAACATGTTTGAGAAATCTTTCAATACAAACATTGAATTCAATTTTTGAGCTTTACCTTTTCAGGTATGTGCTTTTTATGATACTACTTTTTAATTTTGAAAAAACTGCAAACACTCAAAAAGTCATTAAAGTACCAGAATTTGGGCACCAAATGCTGCTTGCAAATACCTTTTACGTGAACTCTATTTAGACCAGGTGACCTGAATCCTGAGTAGCTGTCAAATATTGACACTAGTTTAGTATTGTGAAGTTTGGCCTTGGCCTCCCTCCTGCATGTTCCCATTGATCCAAACAGATTAATAGCCTTACTTTTCAAAGAACCTCTGGGAGGATTGATCCAGCACCATACTCCACAAGAATGCAGTGAAAATTGCTGGCTATGGCTGTCTGGGATTTGGGGCTCTTGGTCCCCAAGAGAATGCATTAGGCCTGGTTCATATTTGTGCATTTGCAGAAACGCACTATAGTCCATTCAACATGGCTTCCTATGGGTCACATTTACATCTCTGCATTTTCTGCTGGTGCGTTTTTGGAAAGGGCGTGGGCCTTTTTTTTTCCTGCAGCAGGTTGCATATTTGGTTCTATAGATGTCAATGGAAATGCATCAAAAACGCAGTGCTTGCATGTTTGATGCATTTCTGCAGGGTTCTCAACAGACACATCCCATAAATGCAAAATTAATAAAAAATGCGTGTGGAAAAAAAAAACAAAATGCACTAGAAAAATGCATCATCCACAACCTGCATTCGTGTGAAGCAGGCCTAATGTGCAGGCATCTTGTGCCTGCATTTTAGTACCAGAACCCTTTTTGTTTTGTTTTTGTTTTAACCCCTAATGCTTGTGACATTTTCTGTGTATCACAGCTGGTGTAGGAATGGTTGTTCTGCGGTATCTAACTTTTAAAGTGGTTGTAAAGGCTGAAGGTTTTCACCTTCATGCGTTCTATGCATGAAAGTAGAAAACCTTCAGTGTGCAGGTCCCTGAGCTCCCCTATACTCGAGCCTGATCCCAATCCAGCAATGTGCACAAGAGCAGAAGCTCTCCCAGGCCTCTCGCTCCTTATGGGCTGAGACAGAGTAGTAGGAGCTATTGCAGGGGCAGCGCTGAGCCATGCACTGTATGTCTCAGAGTGCCCCCTAAGCAAGCAGCTTGCTCTTGGGACACTCAGCAGGGGGGAGAGGCCAGGAGCAGAAGGACCTGAGAACAGAAGGATCAGGGCTGCTCTGTGCAAAACCATTACACAGAACAGGTAAGTATGACATGGTTTCTTTTTTTTTTTTTGTTGGTTGTTTGTTTTTTTAATCTTTACAATCACTTTAAATTTTGAAAAACTGCTGAGTAAACGTCAAAGAGTTTTGTATTGCTCTACATGAAAAAACTCCAATTCTAAGATTGCAGTAAGTAAAAAAACAAAAACAAAAAACGGCCCTTGGGTGTGTGGTGGTGGGTATAAAAGAACTGTTTATACATGTTCTGAAAAATGCTCTGA